AAAACAAAATTTATCAAACACATTTAGAATGCCCAGTGTAAGACACCTAAAGATCATTTTACAAATATTTAGCACTATGCATTCAAAACACACTATATTCAATTAGATTCACAATTAATATCTTCATGCTCAGAATCATTCTAGATACCAGATTCCAGGTACATCAACCAGCAAATGAGGAATGCAGGCTGAGTGTCTAAAAAAGTTTGGTGTACTATGGGAAAATTAGGAGATTAAATTAGTTTTAATTCTGTAGTGGTCTTGCTCTTTAAAGTTTCTTTACAATGTTCACACTTTTCTGTAAAATGTCCTAGGTTTAAGAAAAGAAACAATGGTAAAAAAGAACAAAGACCCCTCTGAAAAACAGCTCTATCTTCCTGAGTATTAACAGCCCTGCCAAAAAAAAGTATCACATCTGAACATGCTGAGAATGACCTTAAAAAGAACATTAAGAGTTTTGGCCCCTGTATGGGTCCCTGGAACACCATTAGTAACCAGCCCCCTTTTTATGTGAAGTTAGCACTGCTGATCAACAGCTGATCATCCATCCACCTTGTACATTTTTCCACTCCGTATCTCATCCATTTGACTGTAGGGATACTGTGGGAGTCCAGGCTGAAGGCCTCCCTTAAGTCAAAGTAAATAGCAAGCACTGTTCTACCTCCTCTGTTGGGCCAGTCTTCCCATCAAAGGTTTGCCCTTGGTAGAGCCACATTCCTCCATCTGTTCTCAGTAACCTTTGTGTCCCTCAAGTGCTAGGAAATGTGTTTCAGCAGTATTTTTCCCATACTCATCCTGGGGACAGAGCTGAGGCTGACAGACCTGGTCACAGACCTGTAGTGCCCCGGCTCTCCCCTCCTGTTCTTGAAGCTGCAGCAGCTCATAGAGCAACCTTCGTGCTGAAACACTGCAAAGGGCAGCGATGTGTTCAAATGCTCTGTGTCAAACATCTCAGAATGTCTGTGTGTTTATGTACTCATGAGAAAGAAAAAGAAGCAAAACTTTTGGAAGCCTGGCTGAGCAAGATTTACATAATCTAAGGAAGAACTAAGCAAAGGAGAGGATTTTTAAAAAGGCATTTTATAAGGAATTCTTGCAAAAAACCTTGCAAATGTATTATTTAAAAACTATGGAATTCCATAGTCCACAGTGTCCAGTTTTCAACTCATTTGAGTTTAAAAAAATGACTTTATGTATGGATGTCAACACAGTAGTAAACATGTGGTTATAACCAACATCATAATAACTTCTTCTCACAGGACTTATCAAGATGGCCTAGCTGACCATTATCTTAATCTGGACAGATCAGCCTGGCTAGTACTGGGTGTCTGATTTACTACAAGTGTGTCAGCATTTCTGGTTAGTTAGTAGATTATAATTGCTAGATAATGCATTAATTACATATTAGCTGAAAAAAAAACCCCAAAAAAACAAAAACCAGAAACCCAGAAGATAATGAAGATCGCTAGAGTTTTAAGTGTCTAGTGTAGAAAACTGGAATACTTCCCCAAGCAGAAATTCTATGGACAATAAAGTTGTATTTTGACACATTTAAACTTTTTGAGAAGTTTATCCAATAGTTACTCATGGTAAAGTACTGAAGAAACTTGTTTCCAGCCTGGTCTTTTGCTGAATTCATTGTGCTGCTTCTGGAGATGCCTACCCTTTTCTAAAGAATTATCCCATAAAAGGGAAGATAGTCAATGGCAACATTTCATCAACCTTGGTTGGATGATGGGTATGTAGAAAAACTTGTGTTTCTTGGGAGGTGTGGTTCTCTTTGTAGAAAGTGATGCTTATATCTTTCTGCTGGTGCAATTACACATAGCTTGGGCTGTCTTAATAAAACACTCCTTCATGTATGGAAAAAGAAAGAGTTTACCCAAGATTAGAGTATGACTCATTTCTAGGCAGATTTTTTTTAGAATATGCTACCTTGAGTTTTCATTTTATTTATTAAATTCCTGTTATTTTATATTAAGGCATATTTGTGCAGTAGTGGAATAATTTTTCTGAAATAAATAGAAATTGGTATAGCAAATAATTTTACTTCTTCTTCTGCATGCTTTCCCACAGATAGGGAAGAATTTTCTCCTTGTTAAAAGTTTTTGCAACGTAATTTGTAGGTGCTACTACAGAAATAAGGTAATTGTTTTGTTACAAAGTAAAAGGTGTCAAGTAAAACTGTTGTTCCCTTCCCCTTGAAGACTGCTCTTAACTCCATGGTATCAACATACATTTTATCAAGAGTAAGCAAAATATTGCTTGCATATTCCTCTATTTTAATACATTTCAGTGTCTGGCTATACTACACTTGGTTCTTAGTATATAATTTACATTTTAAATTGAGAAAAATAGTCAGGATCATTTTATACTTGGCATTATTAGTAAGTGAGAAGTATTTATAAATAACTAGTGACAGATACTAAATATTAAATAAATATTTAATATTTAATATTTATAAATATTTAATATTTAATATTTATAAACATTAAAATATTTTACACATGTGTAAGATAATATTTGTATAAGAAACAAAAATTGTAAAGTGATACATGATAAGAAATTAGCCTACCATGTTCCCAGAATATTTAGTAAGATGAGCTAACTTGAACAATATGCATTTTAGTATAGTTAAGTGCAGGCTAATACTGCAACAAAAGAAAAGTGTAATTTAGTTACCTGAGGGAGGGCTGCATCATGAAAAGGAGTGATACAGAAATGCAGTCCGGGGCACACAGAAATGCCATCCTTGTGAATAAATGTGGGGAGAACTGTAGCAATAGGGATTTTGTTGGTGGAGCAGTAGGTCTTGCCCTGAGACCAAGACAAAAACTGAGAAACTGGTTAAGCAGAACTATGTGGTTGCTTTGGGATCTAGAAACCCTTTTTACAAAAGAGACTTTAAGAGCTTCATCTCTTTAGCCCAATAATGAACCAGGGAAGAACTAACTCACCTGGAACTACATAAATAAAGAGAATAATCATAGAAATCTTCAGTTTAGCAGACAAATCTTTTAAAAGATGCAATGGTTGAAAACTGAGTCAAGAGATATCTTTTGATTAAAAAGAAAATATCAGAACAAACACAAAACCCCTTAGATTAACTAAGCCCTGGGGAAAAAACCTGATAGATAGACCTGTGAAGTATTCTTTTTTCACATGAAATATTTAAATCAAGATGGTGGATTTTTTTCCAAAGGACACATCCCTCAATCTGATTATCACCTGTACCATGCAAAAGGTCAGGCTGGAGACCTGTGGTGCTTTCTTCTGGCCTGAAAACCTATGACGCTATGAAACCCCAAAATTAAGTTAAAAAAGCCCTTCCAAATGTTTTATAAGAATTTTAGAGTATCTTCCATAATATTCATATGGTATGAGGTTAGACACTGCAATGAATAGACTTTCAAAATATTTTAACAGGCTACATTTTGGCTACATTAAAGTTGGGTATTTTTCCTGTTTGTATTGCTGTATTTTGATTAATAGATATTAGAATTGCAGTATCTCATTTATTTAAGCTACCAAGCCCCTTTCCCCTGATAAGATTTTCTTTCTTTATTGGTTTATCAAATCTTTTAAGACTGATATTTCAATGTGTTAGTGTTCACCTAAGGATAGCTTTCTGGAAAGCATATTCTGTACTTGGCCGTGATCATAAACAACACCAAAAGAAAAATTACTGAAGCTAATAAAAAAAAATGCTATTGCAAGATGTAGTTCCAAAATGTTAGACAGACACATGGGCTAATATGAAGATTTACAAGATTTCTTTCTCTTTTATATTACAAACTCTCGATAACTGTATTTTTTTTCTTATATGTTGATAAAATATGAACATGCTTTTGGACATTTAAAAGTGCTAATCACAAAATAACAAAGATAACAAGCAATGTAAGACATTTATCTTGTAACATATAATCCCAGGGTCAGATAGACTCTTTTTTTTCCAGCATGCATATGTAGCTCTTATTAGTGAAACTCCAGTTGCACATAATTACTGGTAACAGAAAAACACTGGCGTTTACCTCCCACACACAAAGCCACACCTTGCCCTCCAGGAAATCCAGAGAGCTTCCTAAGAATTATTTCGAGCTGTGGCCTAGATTTCAGCCTCTTTTGTATCATTTTACAGTGAAGCTTGTCAGAGCCAATCCTGTCTGGTGCACAGGGTTTGACCAAAAAAAGAAATTAAACTCATGAAATCTGATCTTACATTGGACCTTTTATCACAGGATCTTTTCTGCTAGGTCTGCATGGTTCAACAGGTTTGATGCTTTACCCAACACAGATTGATGCTGGGGACAATCTCTGTTCTCTGCAGTAGGAGACAGAGGATAGAATTAAAAGCACATTTCCATAAAAGTTACATACAAATTGACAAGGAAGAATTAGCTACAGTAATACTTTGTATTTCCAAATTGATCATACTTTCCTCTCATTTGGAAGAAGACTTATTTCCTAAGCTTGCATGGAATTATTTATGAAAGAGAAGGCATGGCATGGTAACCTTTGTCAGGAGAGTTAGGCTCAATGGTTCAAACCCTATTTTTTTATTTTACCAGGCGACTTTTAGATATATCTGGAAAGAAATAGCAGCATTCATTCTGATCCAAGGATTGATCCAAGCTGACAATGTATCTGGCCATGGCCTCTGTCATTCAGCCTCACAAAATGTGTAGTACTGTAGTGCCGCTATGGGATTCAGGAGATCTGTCCTGTCCTCAGTCTCCTTCTTCACAAAGACTTTCTGGTAACCTCTGATACATCCCTTTGAACCTTATTCTTCTACAAAATCACTGTGAAAGCATTTTTGCCTTATACAAATAAAAAAGAAGAATATATATTCCAGAAAGAATAAAGGCCCAGCAAATCTCATAGGAAGCCCTCTGCTGGGAAGCAAAGTCAATGAAAAGGAATTCTCTCAGATCACAATTGCTACTTCTCTGACATAGTGACCAGAACATGGAAAGTAACTCTGGATTGCCCAAGTAAGTAAATACTGAGAAAAGATAAAGAGGTTTATACTTCATTTGTGTCTGGTACTGATGCAAGGAAAGGTGGAATGTTGTTTGGGATCTGGGTCCTAAATTCAAAAGAGTGATGAAAAATTAGAATGATTTCACAGAATAAAGATGAGACATGATTAAAGGATACTCGCCTTCTAATGTGGAGCTCAAGGAGTTCTACCTATTTAGCTTATCAAAAAGAAGGTTAATGGGGGCCCTTTATGTACCATTCTATGGTGTAAATATTCATTTAAAAATCCATGCCTTAGCTCAGGCAGACAAAGATCCAAGACCTGCAATCTTAATTTATAGTTACCCATAATTAACCACTGAGAGGGTTACCAAGAATTATGGTAAAGTTTTCCTTGATATTTATATCAAGATATATGTGTCCCCCTTAAGATGATACAATCTAGTTCGGACAGGGATGAGTTCAGGAAAATCCCCTCCCCATTATGCCAGAAGTCAGACTAGAAGATCACACAGGTCTTATCAGGCTTTCTAATCTGTTAATTAGATAGTTTATATAAATTCAGTTTAGTTGGGTCTGTGTTTTTACTAAACAGTATTTTTAATGTTTTGTGTTTGACTGCAGCCTCATGTAATCTCAGTTGATTCTTACTGTATGTGTGTGGTGGGACTTTGTCATTCTACCAACACCTCCACCTTCATCCTTAAGTGTTGCATCATTAGCTTGTTACACAACCTGCAGGGTTGATACTGTTGATACGATGCCAGCCTCAAAATCATTTAGAGATGGAGTGATGGCATTGCTGGAGGTCCCAACAAAAGCGCTCTAGATCTTGCACACAAGTTATTTATCAAGTCCAAATTCTGTTGTACCATTTTTAAAGCTTAAGTAGAATTTATTGCTCAGATGATTGTAGTCTCTCTACAGGTCTTTGTTGAGGATTTTTAGCATGCTATTCCAGATTTTTTTTATTTTTTTTTTTTAAAGCTAAATGTATAATTTTTCAAGTTTTTATCCAGGCTGAGGCTGATATTTAAAAAGTTTTGTTCTCACTTGTTCTTTCAGTCATATTTTGCTCGGTAGTCCAGGGAACAGCCTGCTACCTGGTATCCATTGGACACGCTGTTGTTTCTCTGGGCACCCCTTCAGCTTTGCATGGAGACCAGCATGTCTTCAACATCTTCTCATCAGGAAGCATTCCATCCTTTGGGATTTCCTTTCCTTTGGGCTCAAGATCTTTCATTCCTTCAAGCCTGTTGGCAGAAATTAAAGGAGTACCTTTTGAATGCAAAGCCCTCACCTACTGGCTGAGATTCTAGGTGTTATTCTGCCTTAGGAAGAAGCAGGCACTCCACAACTGCATTTAAAACTCTTTGAAAAGTGCTGTTCCCTTCCTGTTTGCATTCATAAATTGTTTCAATATTTCTCATTTCCAAAAGCAAGCAGCAGAAGATAACCCTTTTCACTCATTTTGTTGTGCCATGTTTTGGTGCCAGTTAAGCTCCAGCTAGCTTCCTGAGCCCTCTGGCCTTTAAATACTTCTTGCTTTTCCAAGAACTTTTAACAGCCACTACCTAAAATGTCAATGCTACTGGATGTTCCAGTATAGTCTCAAACCAGACTTCCACCTACTGTGATTTAGAGAAGACATTGCATATGTCCATTACATATCCTTCACTAGCAGAAGACTGTTTGCAGAAACCAAACTGCGTACTGAGGGTGAAAAGCATTTCACCAGGTTTTGAGAAAACCCTTGTAAGTAAGCCTAGGTAAAGGCTTAGCATGAAGCCAGGATAATCTTGTGACTAATAATAGATCAAACTCAGAAAAATTGTTTAGCAGCAGAACTGCTATAGTGCACTGGAAGGGCTCCCACAGAAGGAAGGAAATGAACTGTTTGAATCTGTTAATATAAAACACTCTTTATGCCCCCACCTTTGTATAGGCATACATCTTATCGGTACCACTCCTACATATCCTAGATCAAACGTGAGAGCCATCATACTTCAGGGATCTAAATACTTTTGGATGCTTTATTTCACAATACCAGAGCTCTGCAGGTATAAATTTCTTTTTATATATCATGTGTTCCTACATCCACGTACAAGACTTACTGGAACCCTTTTCAGTATTAAGCCATCTGGGACAGGGTGCTATAGGAATCTGAGGTACTCCTTTTGGGAGTATCTAAATCAGGATATTCCAAGCATTAACAGATACAAACCTGTACCAACAGTGAAAGAAATAGCATGGGTGGTTTTCTTTAAGAACAAAAGCAAGTATTCTGATTGAGAATAGTGGCTCTCTATGTGTGAAATACTTTAAAGGCTTGTGCCTTTGAATGTATTAGGTCCAATTTCCAAGGCTGTTGAGAATTTGCCAACTGCATAATTTTCAGCTGTAATTATGAAAGATTACTGCCAGAAAGGCTGACTTTCATTTTTGAAGGCAATTCCTGAGAAGATACTGAAAAAAACAGACTCACCCTCGGTGTTTCTGATGAACCTTTTACAGCTTCTTCTGACAACGTAATGCTGGTAAGATAATAGCTTTGCTAGAGAGCTTTTGAAAACTGGTCTCTCAAGCTTAGACAATCTGTGTGAAGAAAGTAATAGTTATCATTCAAACTTGACGCCAGACTCTAATTATTACTTCAAACACAACACAACACAACAGGATTTTTTTTTAATCTCCTTGGTACTGCAGTAGCCACACCTGCATCCTTTCAGAGGAAACATATTTCTCTTCTCCTGGATACTTTGCACAAATATGTATTCATTTGTACAGTACACTCATAAATTTGTTTAGAGTTTGGGTCTTCTAATTTTTACTCTATTCATCTTATTGTAATGCTTTATGCAGTACTGCATTTAAATTAAACTGGACTTACTTCAAATGCTGTGAGCCCTTGAAACTTCCCTTGCTTAGGAAAGACACCTTGTTTATGGTAAAAAGTGGTAAGGGCCACAAAGCTGCTCAGTTTCACTTTGCCTTTACCACAGTGGTCTAACTAAGCCAATCAGACCAGTTGTGCTCAACAGTGCTGTTTAGGAGTGTCACTTGATCCCACAAAGTGCTGGGCTCATACTCCCAGAGAAGACAGGGACTATGAAATACGGATTAGCCTCTTATCTGACATGCAGTGTTTCATCTTTCCTGTACTATCTGTCTAGCTGACAGTCATCTCAGTTGGCATGCCAAGCTAAACCCACAGACCCAAATATCATTATTACATGGTTTTCAAAGCAGCCAAACCACATGCTCCACTCCTCCTTTCTTAGACTGATTATATATGTGCTGGTTGTTAACAATGAGGCCACTGAAAACCAGAGGAATTTAGCATTAAAGAAATACTACATTTTATTACAAAAAAGTATTGAAATCCCAAGTTCTCGGTACCTGCAGGGTCCCGAGCAGTGCTTGCTCTTTCAAAAATCCCAGCTGTACATTTTGACACACAATCTGGGTCTGACTTGTAAAAAGCACGGGATTTGAAATATTCTTACAGTTTTCCAAGAGAGGCTTAGGATTCCTTAAGAAATTTAATGTATGGAAAGCATGCATGAACTTGTATTTTGTAGTCGTATTTGTGGCTTTATTAAAGGTTGTCCATGGAACTCTTTACACCCAGCAACAGAAAATCATTGCTGCATAGAACACAGACATACAAACATATGTTAAACACAGCTCTTTTAAAGGGGCTTTTCTGAAAGTGCTTGCCATTGCTTTCCTGATATGGCTGTGTCCTGAGGTAACTCTCCCAAATTTTCCCTAAACCAAGACAGGCTGCAATGGTCTGGGGGTACAGACACCATAGGAAACATATGAAATATAATTAGAAATCAATGGAGACGCCTTAAGGTACACACTCCCATGGAACGTTTTCCTACTGTTCTTTGGAATCTGGTTTATTTGAAAGAGTCTGTGTTGTCAGACTTATTTTGATGACCAGGAAATAATGAAGGACACAGAGGGACTTTTCTCACAAAGCTAAGATAGGACTATGAGGAGCAAATAAGCTCATCAAGAGTGTAGCAACCTCGTACATTATACACATTTTCATCCAGTGACTTGATATCATGCCATATAATGCATTCCCAGGAATGGAAGAAGCACAAGGAGTCATCCAAAGGAAGGACAGGAAAACTAATTCTGCTGTTAGTACCTCTGTTCTTTGAATTTCTATTTGCTGTACGGTGCAAAACAAGACCTGCGGAGATACCTAGGAATGAGTTCCTTCATCCTGGTTTTCCCACATTCCCAGCATTTAGCAGGCTGTGTGCACCTAAAGTATGTTCTTAGCCTTCAAGGGAGATCTTCAATTTTCCTAGAGAATAAACTATTCTTTATATCCACACCACTCATCTTCCTCAGTTCTAACAACACAAATCAGGACTGGGGAGACAGAGCTTTCATTCTGCCAGAGACAGGCTTTGAAAGAATATCTTAAGCTACTGAGATGTAAAAAAATATATCTATAAAGGTGAGTATATCATTTTGTCCTGATTTGTGGACTGAAAATACAGCCATGAACAAAGAGAGACAGGAGGTTCATCTGTGCCCAGCTCACGTGCCTCAGAGAGGTTCTTGAGTCAAGGCATGAGGCCTCTCTGAGGTCTGTGCTAACACCACCCTGCCAGTGCCAGGGACAAGGTCATGGTCAGGCCAAGGTCATGCAGCTCCTGCTGGGGACATTTTCATCGTGTTGGGACTACCCCACCACCCCCAAACAGTTTGTGTCAGAGACTATGGAAGGTTCAGATTTTACCCTTCGGGTTTTATGGGTGATTCCTGTGTCTTTGAAGTTCTGTTCCCACTGAAGATGAAGGCAAATTCCCAATGATATTAATGGGGTTAGGATGTGTCCTTGTCTCTGTTTTTTTTGCTGTTGTTTCCTTTGTTGCAGTAGACCTATTCCTTTATTAAAGTTTTTGCCTGGGGGAAAAAGAAAAGCCACGTTGCTAAATAAATTATGAAATATTTACATTTGTGAAGCCAACCCCTTATGCCTAGCTCCTCCTCTGATGTTAAGATGACACTTTTTATAGAGCTTCAGCTTCTATACTGCCATTATTCCTCTGTGGGATCTGAGACCAGGAGGTGACAAAACAGCCACCATGAGCCAAGTGACAGTAAGTAATACCCAGGAATGATTGCTGATTTTGACTCAGTGCAATGAGAAACTACTATACTAGAGCAGTGATGGTTTGTTTATTGAAGGAGAGCAAAGTAGGATCAGAGATGAAACTGAAAAATACCATAAAACTGGGGAGGTTTCTAAACAAAGCTTGATTTTTAACCTGACAATAAAAGGCCGTATGTTGTACAAAATACCCATAATAATAATGATCCCAGGAGCAAAGTGTTAAAGACATCAGTTTGCTAATCCCTATGTATGTTCTTTTTGCTTTCTTTTGCATTTTTATTTACTTCTTTTTGCCTGCAGTGCTCTCAAAGATACAAGAATGAATGCAGCTCACTTTACTGTCACCAGCTGTAATGAAATGGTCTGCAGTTACTCTTGTGAATGTTTTGCATCTCTTGTTTTTATTGCATTTGTACATTGGCTTTAAACCTTAATAGTGGCTTCCTTCTCTTAAAAAAATGGTTTAGCATGTGTTCAAATATGTATGGTTCAAACTGGTTAGCCTAGCTTATGAATTTCTCCCTCCTACTTTTACCTGTTTAATGCATTTGACTTTACCTTACCCCACCTCTTGTAGGTTTGGAAACAGAGAGGCAATGACTTTCTCAGGTGTTGGTTTGTGCTGTGTGTTTTTATCACTTGGTTAAGTCACTTCAGTTTATGCCTTTTGCTTTTATTTCTGTGGTGTAGCCTATGGAGACTGTATCTGTAAAATGGGTGAATGTTAGGTAACTATCATGCTAAATGAAACATCCTAATAACTGGAATTTTGCACAGCTAACTTCAAAATTGTTGCCACACTCAAGGTCTCTGACTCCCTTGGTGTTGACCATTATAATGTTCCTTCTGCTCTTCCCTTGCTTCCCTTCTCTTGCTTACCTTCAGTTGTCTTGTTCTCTCTTCCATTCTCCTACAAACTATTTTTGCTCCCATTTCTGTTTTTTCCTTTGGCAGGTTGGTGAGCGGCTGGGAATACAACTGCACAAATTGTCCCTAACTGCTGTGAAGTGTTTCTTTCTTTGCAAAATGTTCTCTGCAAAATTTTCAGTTCCTTCATTCTCACTTTTACTTTCCTGAAAAAAAAATATTTGGAGTAGTTAGAAAGCAAGAATTAAAAGATGAGATTTGCCTTGCACAGTGCCTGGGATTTACAAGGTCAGGATATGAAATGGAGCAGCTTTCAGGGCAGGGAAGGGAAGAGTTCCTGAAATTGTGCTGAAGTGTAGGACAGTGGTGCTTACCTCCTACTTGTGTAAAAATACATTTTTAAAATGCACTACAGCAAGAAAAATGTTGCTATTTGGCTGACAGAACATTAGCCCAAAAAAGAACCCTGGCAAATGGCACACACAAAAGCACCCTGGAGCTAAATACTCTCACTCTTTAGAAAGTCATAAGTAAGCAACAAAAAGAAAACACTCAGTGACACAGCTTTTAGTGAGCTTTTGGCAGGTTTTGGAATGTGGAGAAACCACGCAGTGCTATAATGTTATACCTTTAATTTGCAGGCATTAATACATGTGAATACAGATTTTTGGATTACTGTATTATGATGCACAACTCTCTGGCTAATTTGCATGCAACATTTCTATGATTAATAAATGAGGCAATGCTGGTAACTACTGTATAACAGTGAACCACTTGTAGCAATTGCCAGCACTCCAGCATGCAACATCAAATACTATGCTCTGCTCCTGTAAGCTTTGAATATTTGAACATCAGCTTGCAGTTCCCAGGCTGCAGTGATCAAAGGAGGGGAAGAATGTTCCTTACTTTTATCCTTCTTACAGAGAACCAGAATAGTCAGCAGATACCTTGTGTAGAAATGTCAAGGAAACACAAATGAAAGAAAATAAAATCAAAAGGACTTACTAAAGTTACTTGAGTAAAAGTGTAACACAGCTCTTTATAAAAAGCAAGATATATTTTTCAAGTCCTAATGTTTTATAGTTAACAGTTTTAGTAAAATGAGCATGTCATATATGCATAGAATAGCATACTCTCAATACTGGGATATATAATTTAAAGACCATAAAGATAAGCATATAATGGGTCTGCATTAAAAAATTATATTATGCTGTCTGAATCCAAGATCTAGAAGTGTTACAACTGATTTCTTGATTCAGACACAACTTCTTTTACTGCATTCATGCCAAATTTGTGAGGATTATGAAAAATTCAGTATATTAGATCTATAATCTGCTATTTCCAGTCTAAATAAAAAAGTTTCAGATATGTGACACATATGGCTAGAAATTTAGGGCATCAGGATATCTAGAATACACTGATATTGCTATCCTAGGTTGGAATTTCAGGTCAGGCTCTCTGCCTTTTACTATGGAGAATTTTTTCCCTGCTACAAAGGGGTTTTTTTTCACACTTAGCCTAACACAAATTTTTTCATCTCCACTCTCATTTTTTCATTCCTGTCTTTTTAAGACATCTCTTGTGAAATTCAAGAGGTGCATCATATTCTTGCATCACACCCTGAGCACAGTTAGGCTTTGGCTTACCGAGCTTTCAGGTGACGCTGCCAGCACCACTCTGCCTCCTGAACATTTTACTGCAGGCATGGGCAGCTTACATGTTCTGAAGCAATTACTATATTAAGTACCCAGTGATGTATCCTTCCCAGAAACTGAAAATAAAGGTATAAAAGAAATCCGCACAATAATTCATGGGCGTTAACATATGGGTGTATTTTCTCTGTGGATAATTATCTGGCTATGCTAATAAAGCCAAGGATGCTTTGATACATTAAAACAATTTCTCACAATGATGCTATTGAGCATTTCATTAGTCAGAAGTATGCCTGCAGACCCCTGTGACAAGACAAAGCACTGGGCTACTTTAGCACGCCTTGGAGAAGGTTCCCAGCTCAGAGAAATTGCTCCCAAAGCTTCCTTTGACTTGCTGGCAGGCAGCTGGCATGGAGCCCCAGAGTCCTTGAGAAATTCTCCAATACATTGCTCATCACTCCCATCATGAGAGCTCAGGGTATGTTCGGTGGCTGTGCAGACCCCAGAAGCAATTCTGCCACAAAGGCTGCCCTGTGAGGTGGGCTCAGGCTGCCACACCTCTGCCTGTTTTCCAGTATTGCAATTGCCCAGCTGGAATTGAACTTCACACAGTTTAAATTTTTAAGCCTTCAAAGTTTTTTTATATTTTTGGTTTTTTCTCGATGTTTAATCCTTTGACCTCTTGCAGTTATTTTGTGTAAAAATGCACTATTCTAACACAGGAAACCACTGCCCTGCTGACACACAACTACCTGCATTAGGGAGCATCCTCAGAGATACGGGGGTTTACAGAAGAACCAGCCAGGTTTTTTGAGCAGTGTCAGAGAGGCAGAGTCCTGCCTTTGCTCTGGGGTGGTGGTGGTGGTGGCTGTGGGGAGGGCAGGAGACGCCCCGGTGTGGGGGGGCTGGATTTGGAGAGCCTGTGTCTGCATTTCCTGTGCCCCACGAGCGTGTCAGGCGAGCCTCGGCTTGTGGAAATGATTACAAGGCAACTTACACCAAGCAACCATCCCTGCTGCTGTGTTTGTTACAAACTTGGCTGCTGTACAGTAATGTTTAGTGGATTAATAATGTTTGCTTTTGGCCTCTCCTACTCCCTCGGCAAACAATTTTCATGTATAATAAATGTTCTCAGAACAGAGCCCAAGGGTCAGAATAGCCAAACCTGCATGCTGAGAAGAGACTCCAGGTTTCCACACGAGAAACAGCTTTCTTCCCTCTCCAGGGTCCAGTGTCTGGGCATTTCTGCAGGGTCAGTTTTGCTGAGCAGGTCCCCCTGAAACTGCAGAGGGGCCACACCACGTATCTCCTTTTGCAGGAACCAGTCTGTCCAGTCAAAAGGGTCACAGTGGGCAGCAGAGGCAGCACAGAATCACCAGGACAGGCAGATATTTCTTGAGTGTTTGGCATTTTGAAATAGAAAAGCATATTTTAAATTAAAAAAATTCATCTATATATGTATTAGGCAAAAAATGAACATTTCACACAGGGCATACTGTGTTGAGCATGAGGTTGAGTAAGTGGCTTATGGTCTGGCATTTTCAAAGAAAGCCTTAGAGTTACAAACCCTTTAAAAATCTATATGGTTTATTTTGTTAATTATTAGTCTATTTTGGGAAACAAAGAGTCTGCCCACGTGTCATAATGTGTGGCAGAAATATAAGGATATGCAAATAAAGAAGTTACACAACAAAAGCAAAACTAAATTAAACTGTTTACAGTCAAAAAAGGAGAGAACCAGATCTGCAGCCTTTTTATTTCTATACCACTGAAATAAGAGTGTGCACAGCCAGGCTGCTGGGGTACAATGGTACATGGTACAGCTGTTTCTTTACGTCTTTCCTCTGCTCTTTATGCCTCCACAGTTACAGCTGAAATGGAGGCAACCAGCCTTGGGTACAATGAAAGAGGAACGTATAAGTAGTCTTGTAAAACTTTATGACAACTATTAATTGATCAAATAATTAAGAAAAGCAATCAGCACTTACTTCAAGTGGCCTGGGGAGCAGGAGCCTGGCAACACTGGGACAGAGACTCTTTGCTATTGAACCCTGTGACCCAAATGCTGTGGCTGAGTATTTGAAAATACTACAAGAAATACAGGTTGTGCCAGAGATCCAGGTGCTCTCTGACACACATGGTGAGCTCGCCAGCACTGTCTCCAGTGGAGGATTTCTTGCCAGTCCTGTACACTGAAGTTGTGCTTACACAAAGCTGTGGGTAAGATACAAGAGCTCAGACAGGCAGGTTAGGTTAGTGTCTGCCATGAAAAGATAGGCAAGAGAAATTAATTTTGTCTTGGCTTATCTGAGCAATGCCTTACCATCCCACAGTGCAGTGTTCTGTGTCACTGGCAATTTTTGCTGCCACAAAAGGTGTTGCTTGACAAACAAGCAGCCAAACAAGAAGTAAATATGTAAAACGATTTGACTGGCATCAGACAAAGAACATTATCAGACAAATTATTTATCGAATGTTACTGGGTCATATGCAGAGAAAATAAAATTTAAAAAATTCTTGCAGGATATCTGAGCAACAATACTATTTTCACTGAGCCATTAGACTCAAGCTACGAGCTATCTTCCATCCAGACTGGCTAATTATGAAAACTATTCCTTTACAACCCTCTTCATTATGCAGGATATGTACATTATTTCTATCTCTTATGCACAATTTTTTTCTGAAATTAATTTGTTTGGCACTTTGCACACTTTGTTGTTTGGCTGATTGGTCAGGATGAAAAGGGAAAGAAATCTTTCGTAACCTCTTGTGATTGTGGGGCATTTCCTTACACCTACTTCCACGGAGGCTCAGTGGTAGGGACCATGAACACAGCAAAACAGAAATGTGAGTGCAACAGCCAGATCTTCAGACTGGAGTTTATATTACCAATTCAGGAAAAAATGAGATAGAAACATATAAATATATTTAGGAACACATTAAACACAGATACACTTTTGAAATCTGAACATGAGAGTGTACTGGGGTTTTGCCAGTCACCTTTGTCTTTATAGCAAGACCATGTAAACTTCAGGTCCTGAGCCTGAGACTAGAGATATTGAAAATTAACAGCTGCACTTGTTGCAATGTGAAAATGTAGGTTAAATAACACCTTTCTTCAAATATATTCTTCTCTTTATTTTTTTTCCTAATTGTCTCCATTTTCCCTTGGCACCTACAAAGCACTGTAACCAACCACAAATAACTATACAGACGGAAGAGGGATACTGTAAATACACCATTGTTACTCCTTATTTTGCTTATTCATACTTTAGACATGTTTATTTGTTTATAAAATTGCTGTACATGAATAAAAGCGCTAGAAATATTCCCAAGCTATTGATTACAGATCATTTAAAGATGATTTAAAGTATATTAATTCTCTAAAAGTGAATCATATGAAGATGGGGTCTTCCTGTCTTCAGATCTACTCATCTCCTTGTCTGGATCTAATCTTCTCAGCTCTTTTAGAGATTTAGCCCAAGCTGAGCAGAAATGCTGTGATTTATCTCAACAGTGCCAGAAATTCAGGGCAGTTTTGAAGTATTTGGGAGTACTTATCCCTTACTACCAGCCCAGTCCTGACAGCCCAGCTCATGAGAGAGGTTTCTGTTGTCCCTCCTGTCCCACATCCAGCCCCACTCCCAAGGTGCCCAGGGATACCCGTGAAGGGTGCTCACAGAGATGTGCTTTGGTGCAGCCCCATGCAGCAGCATCCCTCCAGTCCCAGCCTGGTGGGGATGCTGAGAGGAGCCAGGGGAGCAGAGCAGGGCCCAGCACACAGCCCCAGAGGGCCCCACACCACAGGAAAACAGCTGCCCTTCACCTGCACACCACCTGCTCCTACAGCTAACAAGATGTGCTTAGCACATCTGGAAACTCACAGGGCTGATTTTCAGAGTGAAAGTACAGTTGAAGGGAGACATTTCCTACACTTCCCATGTAGCAAGGGCTGTGCTGGTTGGCAGGAATGGTTTGTTATAGCTCTCTGGGAGCAGAAGTGCAGTTTTCATAGTGGATTATCAGATGCCTGAAAGCTTTGTAGATCTGTTCATTCTGGGTACAGATGAACCCACCACTTCTCCAAGCTTGCTCAGCAGCACGGTTCAAGTCCCCAATGCATGTCCACTGATCTTTGTACTTCTTTGAAACAGCCCATTTGGAATGGTCATTAATGGAATGAAAGGTGGAGTTCAATGGCATCCCTATGATGTTTATGTTGTAGACGTGGTAGTCAAGAGAGCAATTTGAGTAAAGCTTTTCACCAGAACGCTGCCATGATTCAGCCAACAAATCAGTCTTCAGTTCCTGAGCCATCCAGGCCACATAAATATCTGTGGAATAACACAGGATGTGGACAATCAGTGTTTCATGTTCCTTCATTCAAGAATAGACTGAAAAGCATAATCTAAATTGTGCTCGATTCATTGTAATGCATGAAGTCAGCCAGAGGGAATTTTGCCCACTCCCCTTATTTTGACTTTTTCAGAAGTTCATTTCTACTTTTTTTTCCTTCTAGAAAACACGTTACAAACAAACAGCAGGAAAAAAGGGAAGGGACAAAAAAATTGCAAGTCTTCTTCATAACAGAAAACCCCCAGATGATGCAAACCCTCTGTTTCTTCTTTCCTGTACTGTTGAGTAATGGAACATAATTTTCCTGAAAATCTAATTGTTGAATACCTTAGGATGGACCAGACAGCTTTTTGCTTTGTGGGGCTGAGAGAACACTGGGATGGGACAGCACACCTTGCTCTCTGTTACATTAGCAAAAGGTTCTCTTACCATCTATGAACAAGTGAGACTTTGCAAAGTGGAGAAAGGTTTCCCCATGAGCTGACTGGAGCTTGGAGAGGTGGCGCAAAGGGACCGAGGGCAGCCTGGACTTGGCACAGAGTTTCTGGAGATTTGGGAGATCAGCTTGGAAGATGTCAGGGATGGAACAGCTGTAGATTCCTGGATTATAACTCAGCATCTGTTGGTCTGAGAAAAACCCACAGAAATGAATGCATGCAGAATTAAAATGGGTTAAAGAAAAGCAATCAAGAGAGCAAAATTCTGTCTTGGACAGAAAACCTAAATCCTTCTTAATCTTCACAGCCTATCTCCTGGATGAGTTAAGTGTTGAAGTACCTTATTTTAGTGACCAAGAATTTGTGCATTACTTTGTATTCTGACTGGCCCAGCAGCACAAAGACTGGCTGGGAGAGTAACACTCAGGCTTTCCACTTACACCTCATTATTTCTAGCAGAACTGTTAACTGGTGGTCTTGGTCCACTGCCACTTCCACCCATACTCATCTTCAAGCCTCTGTGCAGCCCCAGAGCACTCAGACATCATGTGTAAATCCAAACCTGTCTGTATTTACAGGAGTAGTTTCCAGCTGGTTACAGCTGCCAAACCAAATGCAAACAGGAGCTGCCAAAGGGTCTAGTTTGGTTTTAGGGAGAACAGAACTCAACTTTCAGCATCTGGATTGAATTTGAAGAAGAAATCTCCTTTTCTCAACAATGCACAGCTCAAATGTAGAAGTCCTTGCCATGGATAGCATAAACAGCAAGGGAACAAATGGGCTCATTAAGTGAGTTCATGGAAAACCAGTCCATCAGAAACATTCCAGTCTTTCTGGCTCAAGAAATCCCTGAACCACAGATTAGCAGAAGCTGGGAGGACAAGGCAGGAAAATCATTAGCATATGCATCTCATTTTTTGCCCTCTTATGCTAAACACATGCATAGATGTGTTTCCACAAACAGGAACCTGGGTTAGATAGCTCTGAGGTGTGGCCAACCTGGCAATTTGCACAGCACGTGTCTTTCATTAATATGATTTCAGGTTTTTAACTGAGAAAAGAGTGAAAAAACAGTGTGAAAAGAGTTAAGGAACATGCCAATATGACTTCTTGTAATGTCTTTTGATAGTCCCTTTTCAGGATTCCAGTACCAATTATCACTGCCAGATAGATCTAAATCTTACAGCTATATTTTGTTGGGTTTTGGGGTTTTTATGTATTTAGTATTAGCAATTTTTGCAGCAAAGAAATACCTGGGAAAATTCTAGGTGACATTTATTCCATACTTCGTACTTCTGTTGAGTCAATGCTACTACTCCAGCTCAGGCAGTGGTTGCCTTACATTTTTAGAACTGCAGATGACTGTTGCTGACTGAGCTATTACTGTTAAAAATTACTAATCATCCTACTTTGTATTTCCAAAGCATTTTGTTTGCGTGGACTGAGTTTACTCTTGATGTGCATTTGTGAGTATTATTATACTGATAGTCCCCACAGGGAGATGAAAACAGAGTGGAAGAGTGAATTTCCCACATTCACACAGGAAATCATTGTATAAACACAACTGAAGCCAAGAATGCTCTTTCCAGGCCCCACTTGGTTTCCCAATGTGACAAAAAAAAGTCAAGAATAAGGAACTTTTGAGGTGAAACCTCAAGGAAAGCATTCAGAGAGGTGTGGTGGGACAAAGGCCTTCTTAGGGAGAAGTTTTCATACCTATTTCTGTGAACTGATCATATTTGAAGGTTATACAGATGGCTGTCTGTCCAAAGGACTCCCCAGTAGATGGATATCCATAACCATCCTCAGGGATGGGAGGGAACAGGGGCACACTGTGAATCACCCAGAAGCCTTGTGATTTATCCAAGAGCAGAAATCCTGTCAAAATAAAAGTTACTGCAAATGAATTAAGGAGGAAAAAGCCCTGAGATGATAGAGCTGTGCCCTACTTTGGTTTTGCTGCTGCAGATACCACATTTCTATGTGTTAATGTCTACAGTAAGCTGTTCCAGAGTAGATTAGTAGACCATAGGAAACACTAATATTTCATTAAAATTGCATCAATTCTTTCCTGCATAACTCAAACTGTCATCATGTTTTATTTGAAAAAAATCCTTTCACACCCCCTTCCTCTGCTCAAATTTTGTCTTCAAGAGTTCTGACAACTTAGTAGTTGTGCTCCTCTTTCCATTTCTCATCTTTCTTCACTCCAAATATTCACTGGATAAAGGGAAATGGATTCTGTCAACACTGTGTCTTTTTTCCCAGACCAAACTATCCCCCATGGGGAAGCAGCAGAGGGACAGGCTATGCTTCTCCCCTCCAGGGTGGATCACGGCTCCTGAGCTGTGCCCATTGCTGCAGCCTGAAAATACACCCCTGCAAGATGTGCTCATTTCCACGTCAGGCTGGGCAAACCCCATCTGCTTCCTCAGGGGAACATTTAAACTCCACTGAAATTTACACTTATTTAAAGTCTCAATTTTGTGTAACTACATCCTACAGCACTTCCATGATCTTGGCAGCAGTTTCTTGTCCCAGAAAGTTTGGAGGGGTTTCTGTTGAGGGCGTCTTTCCCTTCACATCTTGTACTGCTTTGCCATTAGGAACAGGATGGTCCTAAAAGGATTTGTACTAGTTTCAACTCTCAAAACAAAGAATCCATAAGCCCCAAGATCCTTCACACAGCACAGGTGTAGCAAAACCCAAACAGAAGCTGCAGTATACGTAACTATATGAAAACCACACACCATGCAAATCCCCCTTTGGTTTTGCTTTAGGCAGGAATTTTAGATATGCAAATAGACAAAACAAACAAGTAGATGCTAACCACAGCTTTAGAAAGGATAAAATAGTAGTTTGGTCCTCTCCTTGTACCTTTGGTGTGTCCACACTTTGACCCTTTGGAGTCTGGTTCAGGGATCTCATCGTTGTATATCGCATATGCAGTGGTGTTCCTCTGCAGGGAAACACACATTTCTGAAACATGACATCCAGTAAAAGGAGGGCATTTAAACAAACATCTGCTGGGAACAGAAGAAAGAATTTGGGATTCCTCTGTGTGAGCTTCATGAGCCTAATCCTGCTCCCAGTTCAGCTGACACAGTCTCCACAGACATTACAGTAAAATAAACCTGAAGACTCAGCTTTAGGGCCTTGGCTGACATGAAGTGGAAGTTCTCTCCATCGCTGCAGTAGCCCTTTCCCAATGGTTGAATATGCTTGTTAAGCCAGTTTACATGGGTTTAGTGGGCACTTGCTTGCAAAGAAGTTCCACTCTGTTTTTGGGGCCTCTCTCTGATTTGGCAATCAGATCTGGTAAAAATATTTGCTGAGTAAAAATAGACATGACAACTGTTCTTATGAAGGGCAAGCAATTAAAGCTTTTCTGCAAAACATTTGCATACGACTGCACCTTATTTCCCCTGAGCAGAGAACTTCAAAGGAGTTGGGACATGCCTCCCCTCCCAATGTACTATGAGTTTGTGAAAAGTTTATTACAGCTACAGTAAGACCTGGGATAGCACAGTTTTCTGCCAACATTTAAGTGACTTCTGGGAGTCTCTTCTACATACAAATTGATTGAACCCTACCACAAACCCACAGGAGAATTGCAAAGACACACCCAGACTCCCAACAATACTACATAGATGGGAAAAAAATAATTATAGGGAGATCTTTTGATATTTTACAATCACTTCACACAAATTTAAGTTAGGTGTCTGAGTGTGGGAGCAAAGAAGGTCAACAAGCAGCACATCACTGCTGGAGCAGTCACAGTGATTCCAGGGGGATGATGAAAACCCAGATTTGATTTGAGTCAGAGTATGAATCACATGTTCATAGGAGGGCTTAGGACAAGTGTCTGTAACAATTCCACTGACTTTAGTTTAAACTCACAACTTCAGATGTTGCTCAACATGAATTGCAGAAAAGCCAAAGGGAGAATGCATGAACACTCTTTTTTTGATGAACAACACTCTAACTATATGGAAAGCTTGACTAGATATTTAGAAGTTTGAGGATTATTCCTAATTGTAGCCAAAACTGCAAACAATCTGCCCAACTGTCAAGGTGCTCCTCCCCTCTGTGTGTTTTAGCAGATCTATTGGTCAGGCCTGGCCCAATGTGCTTATTTGGGCTGCTTTCATGTCATCTGCATACAATATCAAGTAACCACACTAACAAAAATGAAACATCACTTGCCTTGGATTCATACGTCTCATACAGCTGCTGCAGTGTTTGTCCCAGAGCACCCTGTGTCATGTTGATGAGGTATTTACCAAGCTGCCACTGCGGAGCCAGGGCGTCCATGTACAGGTATTCCAGTCCCAGCATGGGAATCTGTCCTTTGGCATGTTTTGGCAACTTGTAAAGAGCAAACCTGCAACAGTGAAGAGCAATTTTTTTTTTATCACCACCCTGTTTGAATGTGTAAATCAGTATCCCCTTCCCTGAGGAAGAGAAGAGTGAATCCAAGGATGCCTGGGCTGGAGGGAGAGCAGTGTGGACATCTCAGCCTCAAAGCAATGACCCAGCCCAGGAACCAGCTGCAGTTTGGCAGCACAATCCCCTCTGCAGACAAGTCTTTTCTGCTTCTTAGCAAGCAACAGAGGCTGATTCAGCATCAAACTCCTGTTGCTGTGGCCAGCTGTTGGTACCCCTGAAGAATCTGAGGTAGCCTTGGTTGAGTCCATGAAATCCCTATTGTTCCTGGTTCTGGTAAAGAACCTCAGGTCCCAAACCCAGTCTAAAATTCCCCCAGGTCAAACAATGTATATATTATATAAAATGGCTTTATATGAAATAGATAAAATTAAGAATTGAAATTTTTAAAATGCATTATATTATGTTTATATGTATCACAATCACAAAATAAGTATAAAGCAATGTGATAAAAGGTTGTTCCAGTCTTACTTTCCACAAGAGACTTGCACTCTGATGAACTCTTGCAGACTAGAAATTTTCAAACCATTAGCCAGGAACACAAATTCCTTCAAATTTGTAAAGTACTCAATATTGTCAGTAAATGGCTCAGTTCATACTAAGGTTCCTGACAAAGCAAACAAGTTTTCCCAGTGCACAAGTCCATGGGATTAATCACAATGTCATTAACTCAGCTACTTTCTCTGAGGGCTGTAATTGAGTAATTTGCTATTAATGTCAACAGTAAGGACCAAGTGGCATTATTTTCAATCTATTTAACAAAATGCAGCTATTTAACAAAAATGCAGCCTGTGCTTAACCCCTCAAGTATATCAGGAGGAGTAAACCCTGCCCAGCTGACTTTCAGGCTCAAGTTGGTCACAAAAGACATCTCCAAACACAGGTAAGAAGTGTTAGGAAAACATTTTGCTAGAGATGAACATTTAATCCATAGGAAACGTACATGTACAGGCAGAAGAAAAACACACATCAATGGTGGTCCTGGTAACCCACCTGCATTGCCACTGACTGAATGATCTCCCTAAAGCATCTCAGGAGAAATAATTTCTGATGACAGATCACAGGCATTTCCAAACTACTTTGAAACCTACTGAAAGATTTATGCTCTGGAAATGTTTACAGCCTCACACCTGAGAAATCCACCTTAGCAGGTATGCTTATGAAAAGCCAGTCATTGAGCTATCCGGAAACTGCCTGCAAATTCCCAGTGGATACATGTTTTGGCACTTTCCAGAAAGCCAGCTGAGTGTATTACCAATTAAAGTTGTATAAAATCTTTACTGCTATTCGTGCACAGGAAATTTCTCAAGAGCTTAGGCATTTGTGGGAGCAGAGTAAAAGTTATTTTCCTGAGAACCAAAAAAAAGCAAATCCGCTTAGACCGGATTAGGATTGTCACATTGTTTGCTTGTGACTGAACACAATTTACAAGCAAACATCACATCTTTACTTCTTCCCTTCCTCCCTGCCCCCTTAAAAAAAGCCCAAACAAACAATATGCATGGTGGCTTCAGTCCTTGACTCAACATTTCTCAGAAAGCATAGTTTTGGTTTTTATTTGCAGGGAAGGCTTCCCACAGAATACAGTGAGTTTAGATGAACAAAGGAAAGCCTCTGCTCTCCTCAGAGAGCCGAACCTCTGGCCATTTGCTCTGGCAGTCCCTGAGGGAGGTGCAATGAGGATTGTGGGATGAGATCCCGAGTGAAATGAAAACACAGGAGAGACTTCTGCCCGCCCAGGTACTGCGTGTGGGGAGGAGCTGCCAGCCCAGCTGGGGAGCACAGATGGGAGGGAGCAGGTCAGATATAGCAAGTGATTCCTCTGGTTCAGTGGTAAATGAAAGGGTGTGTGAAAACTGAGAAAGTATGGAATACTGCAGGATGAAACCACTGCAGAGCAGGAACTCACATAAGCCTCTTGCTAACTGAAAATAATGCTGCGTTGTTTGTTTGAAAGGGCATTGACTTCTTTTTATTAAGAGGAGGCTCCTCTCAGCAGTTTCAGTTCTGCTTCTCCTGTCAGCTTCATAGCAACCAAATCTAGAATCTAAAGGCTGACTCTTTCTTCTCAATAAACCAGGATGAGCCCAGCAGACAGGCAAGTTTCTCTTCTTTTGATCAGGGCATATTGAAAAGGAAATCCCTCTGTCCTACCTGCTAAATTTGTGAAAGGGAACATGGATTTGCCTGTGCAGAACCCCAAGTTCCCTTCTGGAATAGGCCCCAAGTCACTGGCATTCACACAGAGACACAGGTGAATTATTCCTAGCCTCAGCCTTCAAATAATTTCTCAGAAAATTTTAACACAAAACTTGTCTTAATTTAAGAAATGCACAGTTTGTATATGTATTGGTGTGTGGTTTTTTGTTTGGTTTATTTTTGTTTGTTTGTGGTGTTCTGTTTGTTTCTTTGTTTTACACAAAAAAACTTCATTCTGCAAGGAATAATTCCAGTTTTGGGAGAAATTAAATATGTCATACCTTTAAGTTCATGGGCTGCACCAACTAAGAGTCTGATTCCTGAAAAAATTACATTATCCAGAAGGGCCTTGGCAAAGGGGACAAGTCATAGGAATGGATTAGACCCTCATACATTTGATACTATGCCAACAGAGAGCAAAGCCAGCTTTGTGCTCCTGCCTGTGGTGTGAGGAGCACCCGCCTTCCCTGCAGTTAGCTCTGTGTGCAAGGAAAGGGATGGGCAGACTTTAGCACTTGTATCCGAACTAAGCACTGTTCACAAGAAAAACATTTTTCTTTTGAAAATGGTTGACACTTACTTTCAAGAAGCTTATGTGCTCTTTTAAAAGAGCCCTGATTTCACTTTTTAAATCTGGGCTGGGTATTATGCGACTTTACTTTGCGTCTTTCCATCTTGCAAGCGCGTTAATCCAATTAATCATTTAATGCCCGAAGCTGGGCTCGCCGCTGGCAGCACCGGGACCGCAGCGGCGGTGCCGGGACGGGAGCTGAGGGCAGAGAGCGACTTCTGCTCCAGCCACAGGGCACAGGGCACAGGCCACGCTGCTGCCGCCAGCCCTGGGCCGGCTCAGCCTCCGCCGGCCCTCGGAGCCGGCAGCAGGAGGACGAGGCCCCTCGCTGCTGTTCCAAGGGGAGATGCGGGCGCTTTCCCCTCGGTGTTGCCCGGGCCCGGCCGAGCCCCGCTGGCGAGCGCAGCCCCGGCACAGCCTATGTTCCGCGTAAAACCGGGATTATTCTGCAGTCACGCAGCACGGTGGCTGGTTCGGGGAAACGAAATCAGATTTTAATAACTTATCCTAGGTTTTTCAAACGCAGCGTTCAGCCACTACTCCCAGGCAAAGAGCGCTGAAGCAGCGATCGCCTTTGCATTGCTTCTCGGTGACCCACCCACTTCCCGCGGGTGACTCTGTGCTTTTATTTACTCACCCAGCGTTTCTCCCCTGCTCGGTATTTACTCACCAATCCACCGTCTCCCCGTCTTCATTCCTGCAGGAGATCCCGGCGGCCCACAGGGGCACGGAGGAGAGAAGCAGGAGCAGAGCAGGGAGGCAGCGGGCAGATCCCGCAGGCATTTCGGCTTCCCGGCAGCGCAGGGCGAGC